TGAAGCCTGGGATCGCACCAGTTTCACTATAAGCATAGGAGAATGACCTAGGGGGCATGAACAGCTTTTTCCTAGAGATAGAGGCTTGAACACGTAACAGATCAAGAGAAGCCCGAAAATTGTATAGCCACAAAGAGCATTGGAAAAAAATAGGATTGTTCTCAAAAGTTGAAAGAGTTGACGGTTTATTGAAGAGATTTGAATATGCAAGGGGAGGGGGGAGAGAGATAGAGGAAGGCAAAGAGAAGGCCAAAGGTGCAGTAACGGCCTACGGGCAATATGTTAGGGATTTATATATTAATTATGATTATTTAGATTTAATAGCAAATTTATTTATATGTACCAAAATGTCCTAATGATATTTCTGAGGGGGTAAAACTAAAAAACAAATGTTTTACACATTTCTGTACTACTATAGGTAGTAAGATAAGATAGATAGATTGCAACTAATTGATGTAACGTTGATATAAATACAGAGAATAAGGAGCAAAAGTAACGGTGAGAGAAAATAGGAGGAGAGTGAGAAAGAGAGGAAATAAGGGAGAGAAAAATGAAAAAATAAAATAAAATATTTATATATTTAAAAAGAAAATAAATTATCAATGGGAGAGATAGAGAAGAAACAGGGAAGAGAGAGTAATGGAGAGAGAGAGGAAAAGAGAGAGGGAAAAAATAATAATTATGCATAATTTAAGGAATGGTAAGCAAATAAAAAATTTAAATGTCATTTGAATTTTGTACATAATCACAAGATGTTTTATTAAAACTGAACTTGATAGAATAAAATAATTATCTATACAATTTTTCTCAAATAAGTTTAAAAAAATGTATTCATACTAAAAAAAACCCTTTATTTTTAACTAATTAGAATATATCACATGTAATCCTAACAACATACTTTTCGGCTATTATCTCTCTTGTTTTTAAAAATAGTCTACAAATAATTAGTTAAGAGTAATGTTATTAAAATCTAAAAAATTAATTTAATTTATTAATCTAATAATCTAATAATATATCAAGTGATAAAAAAATCAAGTAATTATCATCACAATAATTTTATTCAACAATATTGCTATTATATCAATTATATTACTCATTGATTGTACCTATGTTCGTTAAACTATAGGTGGCTGTCACCATCATTCAGGCTCTTGTAAGTGTCATCATTCATTGTTTCTAGCATTTTTCAGTTTTTCCAAAGAAATTTCCAGCCTGTTTCTTATATGTTTGGTGTGCTTGCAAAACCAAAGCTGTAGAACATCTTCAATCCAGCATCCAAAACGTCAGCTGGAGTCTTCTAACGGCCATAATTAGCATTTTTTCTTATGAAAATCAAAACTCAAGTCTTGTATTTCAAATGTATATGCATTGCACATTGAATGAAAAAGTTTAAATTTTTAGAACATACAAAGTGATATGTTGGTGCACATACATTTGGAATAAAGATTTGATTTTTTTATTTGGACGGCATACCGGTGCTCTTTCTCTTTTTCCAACCCACCACATGCCAATTCCTAAGTAGGTAAAAACAAATTTGACATATCTCAATAGATATGTCAAATATTTTTAATGCAATAATTTATAGAGTTATTGGGTGTTTAATGCAATTTTTTTTATGTAGTAACTTATAATTTTGTTAGAATTTATGTTTTGAAATTATACTTTTAATTGTCGTTTAAAATTGTATTAGCTAAATTTAATGAGAATTTTAGTTTCAATAAAATATATACTACTTTTCATATAAAATTTATAATATTTTAAAATATATTTTTTTTAATAATATTTTTTTAATTGATCACAAAATTTATTTTAAATACATATATTAATATTAAATTAATAAAAAGAAACAGAGATAAAGACAAAAATTGGATAAAAAAAATTATTTTGATCATACCAGTGCAAGGTGAACATAGCATTTGACATGCTCTAAGCCAATTGGTTTTTTTGTGTGCGAGTTGATTTTTTTTATTATGAAATATATATTTTGGACATAATTGTGAAAACTTTATCAATTGTAGTCGTTGGATTGAATTAGGCGTTCATACATGCATTGATCTAGTTGAAGAATCTGGTCCAAAGCAACTACTCCACCTAGCATATCTTCTTGTCCGTCCGGGGTTCTCTCTGCTCAATTTCACAATCAATCCCAAATTCATATATTTGATGGAGGTCAAATTATGTTCTCTTGTAATTCCTTAGAAGTGTTCAACAACCCTTTTACATTTAGGGCTCATCGAAGCCCTATTATGTATATTCAGGAACATGACAATCAAATGGCTGACTGTAAACTTCACCAGGATTATAAATTCTTATACTTTAATGATACTTTCTATTGTCAATCGTTCAACGGATTACTTTTGTGATACTTGTTACATTAAGAAGCTTAGCAAAAGTACATGATTTCCTAATAATAGGATCATAGTTATAATGGTTTGCTAGGTTGGTTTTCTCTCTAACTTCTTAGGGGGAATAGACATAAGAGAGGTCAACTGGAGTGGAAGTCAAACGACAGAGCCAAAAATTTGTGATTGATCCAAAGAACCACCGCTAGATACAATTCTGTAAAGTCTACCAAACTTTAGAACTTACAATTAATCTAATTATTGTAATAAATTAAGTTCTTGATTAAGTCTCCAAATAAAATTCTTATAGCATTGCTATTTTTTTCTTGACTAGCTGGACCTTGATGTTTAAAAGCCATTTAAAACGGTAAGACTTCCCCCCTCCCCCCTTTCTCTACTTCAACTTTTTTCTCTCTTATTTTCTTTCTGATTCTAAGTATTTTGCACTTATTTATGTCCAAGTTGAAAATATACATTTTTATTCCAAAATACTTCTTATTGATCAGCCAAAAATTTATTGAGAGAAAATATAAAGTAGTAAAAAAAAAAGGATTTTTGTTTTATATTTCATTGTCCAATTAAACCGTTTTACTTCATTGAAAAATGTCAGTGGATGACAATTTCACCATTCAATTTCGATGTCAAAAAATAGGAACAATGAAAATTCACTGATAAAAAATTAGATAAAGATAGAAAATGGTAATACAAGTGATATTTTAAAACATTGAAATTCTTATTTCGCTTTCTAGTTCCATAAAATTTAAACAGTAAAATTGGTCTGCAAAGAGAAAAGAAATAAGTTGGGACTGTCTGTCTAGTTCCTTGGACTTTGGACAGTAAAATTGGTCTGCAAAGAGAAAATAGATGGCTTCGGAGTCGTGGGATAATAAAATAGGAATTTCACTTACGTGTTTGTTGTCATTTCGATTTAAAATATGAATTTTATTGTTCAATTTCACTATCATTTCATTATAGAGCAAGATAGAGTGATGAGTTAGTGAACAAACTAAATAAATTGAAAAAGAAAGTGAATAAGTCTGTCAAAAATAAACCTAGAGTTTTGGAATTACATTCAAGCTCAAAGAAAGAAGAATAATTTGAAGCCAATCCCTTAGAACTATTATCTACACAGTGGATTTTGCGATTCTTTGTGATCCAAATATAAAGATTTAAAAAATTTAAGGAAAAATTTCATCTACACCACCTCTAGTTAGGCATAAATTCAAAGACACCCCCTACTTATTTTGAATCTTCACGGCACTCCCTTTTGGTTTACACCTTAAATCAAAGACACTCCCTATACCGTAAAGTTTAATAGTGACAGTGAATAAAGGAACGGTTTGTCATCAATTTTTTTTTAAAATGTCCAAACTACCCCTTCTTATATAAAAGTACTAAAATGACTTAAACATCTTTCCCTATATATATACATATATACACTTCATACGTTGACATCATAATATAAGGAAAATTTTCAAATTTTAAAAAAATTGATGGCATCATACGCTTAAAATATAATATAAGGAAAAAATTCAAAATAATTTTTTAAAAAAATCGATGACATCATACGCTTAAACAAAATATAAAACTGGTGACATTTAGAAAAAAACTGGTGACACCGTACACTTAAACATAACACAAGGAAAAAATTTAAAAAATTGTTTTTTAAAAAAACCAGTGACATCGTACACTTAAACATAATATAAGGAAAAAATTCAAAAAAAAATAAAAATTGGTGACATTGTATGCTTAATCATAATACAAGAAAAAAAATTCAAAATAAATTTTTTTTAAAAAAAAAATTAAAAAAACTGACGATATTATATGCTTAAACATAATATAAGAAAAAAAAAATTCAAAATGTTTTTTTTTTTAAATTTAAAAAAAAAATCCGGTGACACCGTACACTTAAACACAATATAAGAAAAAAATTCAAAATAATTTTTTTTAAAAAAACCGGTGACATCGTACACTTAAACATAATACAAGAAAAAAATTCAAAAATTTTTAAAATTTCAAAATAGTTTTAAAAATTTTGATCATAATACAAGAAAAATATTTAATCATAATACAAGAAAAAAATTTAAAATAGTTTTAAAAAAAAAACAGATGACATCATACGCTTAAACATAATATAAGGAAAAAATTTAAAATAATCTTTTTTTTTTAAATTTAAAAAAAAAAACCGGTGACACCGTATACTTAAACATAATATAAATAAAAAAAATTTAAAATACTTTTTTCAAATATTTAGAGGGGGTGTAGATGAAAAAGGTGATAACTATTTATATATAGTTTAATGAAAAATAATTGGTGAATATGTAAATTTTTATAAAATTCATGGGTAAAACGGTAAAAAGTGTGTTTCCGTTACATCTGTTAGCCGACCAACACTGACAGAGGAGGTCAGTGAAATTTTAGAAAAGGTAGAAGATGTCGTTAAAGATAAACTTATTTAGAGGGGGTGTAGATGAAATTTTCCCAAAATTTAAACTATACTAGCTTTCAAATTTCACAGTTAAGATTGACCCAAAGCCCTAACCAAGTCTAACCTCATAAACGCCCAGCCCAAGCTAGTTGAAGCAATTTCAGCCCAATCCTAGTCTCGCCCTGGGCCCAATATATACAACTTAGGCAACAAGCAACACAACTATTGAACTACTTTTTACCGAACGGTCAGAAGCACAATAAGCATCACACCAGTAAAACTCCGGATGGAGAAGACAGAGATCGACGGTCAAGATGGTCTGGAATTCAAGCTTCTCCTTTCGTGTCCCTCTGGTCTCTCTCCATCACAGGTTTGTTCGAGTACTAACACAATGATCGACCAAAATTTGAATTCTTTTTTTCGTTTTTCTTTTAATTTGTTTGTTCTTTTTTATATTCTAATTACCAAAATTTTGAATGTATGATGAATGAAGGTGTTAGTAGTATTCGATGAATCATATGATAGGATTCCCCATTCGGACCTAGATTTGGAAAACTCGATTTCTGAGGTCAGATTTTTTGCGGTGCGATTGCTTCTATTTTCTCGGAATATCAAACAAAGCTTTTGTTGTGTGACTGATTTTTTTTTAATTGCTATATTATTTTTTGTTTCAGACATGGGAACGGAGAGTTCAACAAAGCAAATCATTGTTCAATGGGAAAAAGTTCAGGGTAATTATGGTTGTGTTCCTCTGCGTTGAATCACTTGATTTTAGTGGCGTCTCATGGCCATTTGTTTGTTCGATACTAACGGAGCCCCATTGAATTTTTAATTTCTCTCACTACAATCTTACCACCCCTACCCACCGAAAAAATATTCATTGCAACAACGGTGATACCACGTCGGCGATACCAACCAATAATGTGTAAACAAATAGGAAAATAGACCCCACACAAGTCAATAACTATTCGTCTATGTAAGCCGATAACCTACTCACTCTTATTCGTTTATAATTTTATTATTGATCGATGATATCAATAATGATATTTATCAACGTTACATTGAATATTTTCTCCTACCCATACCAAGGTTTTTAAAACTGGGAACCTATTTTGGATCAATGGGGGGGAGGTTATAGGATTGGGATTCTAGGATCGGATTGAGAATCGTAAGATTCTATCAATTGAGAAAATGAGATGAAAAATATATGTAGCAATAAAAAATTCTCAAAAATAAGACTTGAACAAGCATAATATCTATGAAAATAAGAATATTACGATAAAGATCAATCTTAAGGTATGATTAAAATTTGATAAACTACAATTTAAATATTAAAGAAAGTTTAAGATCAAAGATGAACTGTTAATTTGTGAGGTCGTGTAAAGAGGAATAAAAAGATTCAAGTATTTTTATCTTTAACTTTCAGAGAAAAGATAAAGAGTATAGACTAGAAAGTTGAAAGACTGTTGCATAATTACTTTTGACTATTCGACACTCAAACCAAAAAAGCATAAAGAAATAAAAATAAAAGATCATCTGGATATGATTACTCACCATGATAGAAGCTTAAATTTAACCATTACTTTCAACTTTTTAATAAGAGAGACGAACGAAAAAAGAGACATTTTTCCAAAACAGGCTTTTCTTATCCTCTGAAATTCTCAATAGACTCACTAGTATATAAGATATTTATATTTGTATTGAGTACTTAACTACAAAAATCGAAAAGTATGGATTGAATTGCTCGGTAACTAGATACGCCGGTCAAACAAACTCAACAACTTGGATCGGTAAAGTCTTAGTTCGGATCGAAATCCTAAGATTCTATAAGATCCAGATCGTGATTCATTAAGATCCTACGAATTTGAGATCCTACTTGAGACTCGGATCAATTTGCTTATATTAGATCATAGGATGGTAAGATCCTAGATGGATTGGGATTTTGATAACCATGACGCACACCTTATTGCCACCCCCTCATCCCATTCCCAACCCCTAATATTTTTGGGCAATTAATCACTATTGTGCTAAATTAAGGAGGATAAAAATTAAAATTTAAAATAGTTTTGTGAGAGTAATTATATAAGACACATGGAATAATTTAATTTGTTGAGATTAATGCATTATTATTAAAATATTCAAAATTAAAAAAATTTAGTTTTTAATGAGGGAAGATCTCATAAGTGCTCTCTCTCTCCTCTATTGATTGCTATAATATGTAGAGAGAATGTGTGTGAGAAACACAGGAAAGGAGGAGATGGTGGAATAAAAACTTGGGGCAATTGAGAAATTTTAGAAGTTATCCTATTAATGAGGGATTGAGTTAATAAAAAACTAAGGGCCAATAAAATGTGAGAAGTTTGAATCTAATTAAACTATTTTAAATTTCAAATTAATTAGAGTTGGCTATCTTAAATTTAGTTTTCTTGATTTTTTTAACAATAAGAACCAATTGTAAAAAGTCACATCATTTTCAACAGTAAAATACTCAAAAATTTAAGAAAATAGGAATGGAGTTGTGGAGGACATCCATGCCCTATACATTAAAATAGTATAGAGATATTATTGCAAATCACTAGTGTTTGGACACCATTAAGCTTGCCATAACTGGGACCATAATGAGTAGGCTTATATGATATATGGCTGTGTCAACGCTGGGTATAGATCAACATTGTGATTCCTTTTAATGTCACCACAACAGGATGAAGCTTGAAAAAATATTCAATGATACCACATTATCATTGACCCATGGTATCCCAAATCAATTATAAAATATCATGTAGATTTAGTGGACCCCACAATTTTAATTAATACCAATAATATTCAGTGTAATGGTGAATGACTACCCTATATAAAAAAGTAGAGTTCACTTATTTACATGTTGATTTATATTATTGGATGATGATATCACATGACAATGGTGACGTCACGTTCAATATTTTTTCCAATAACCATCACCTTCAGCAATTATCACATTGGAATAGTTGGATTTATTGGTTGGTGTTATTGTGTATTAATGATGACGTAGTATCATTATTAGACTAAATATTTAATCATGACTTTGGGCTGGTTAAAAAGGGGATTTTGATTTTGAGGTAACTTATGTGCCATTCTCTTGTTAAGTTGTCTTTTATCTGGTAGATTTGTGGATTGTTCATTGTACAAAGACTTTAAGTTTGGAAAATGTCTTTTTTTTTTTTGAAAATGAGAATGTAACACTTACCGTTCAGATTATTCGCACCTTCCATCATGCATAACAGTACATATTGAAGTTCAACTTTTTTAAGTGAAGTGCTACATCTAAATTCATTTATTACTAAATGGCTCCAAATGTTGAAATATTATGACCTTTCTATCTACTGCCTGAAAAAAGAAAAAGTTCACCTTGCATTTTGTTTTATCAATTTCTCTGTAATATTATTCTCTCTGGTAATTTTTCCTATTGATTATTTTACAGTACGGAGGATACAACTGGTCTGGTGGGGACTATTCCAACCAAGAGTCTCGTGTATGTCTCCATCTTGGCCTTACAGACTATAGGTTCTCTCTCTCCTTCTCATCCAAGGCAAAATAAAACATAGTTTTTTTAAGCTTACCTAAAAATTGTAGTCTGACAGTCTTCATACGATGTAATTACAATCAATTTAGTATTAGTCTAGGAAACTATATTGGCTGAAGAGGAAACGTGTTTTCCCCCCTCCGTAGTACATCATATTTCTTAAATATTGGAATCCAACCATTGTTTGATAATGTAACCAAAAAGGATCTATACTCAATTTCTTGAAGAAATATTGTCTAAAAGTATTTTGTTCCCAATAGATGTTGGTTTCTTAGACAATTATTACCTCTATTATTGCAGAATATGCCAGTGTGCCCTAGTAAAGGTAGAATTCGGTATTGAACTGTTTAAAACTACATTTGATGGAAAGGTTGCTTTGCTGGTGATTGGAGTTTATTTTTGAGTTGTGTCAAGGTGATGAGTGGGTTAGATGCCTCTTTGGCCTTGTGTTCTAACCTAGAAAAGGAACGAATAGTAAAAAATAACACCTAGTTTTGTTTGCGTTAATGGGGTCTAGGAGGGGTAGATAGGGTACTTACCTAATCTTTTGCATTATTTACACAAAGTAGTTGTGCTTAGGTTTGAAATTTGAACCCACACAACTTCAAGATTATTGGAATGAATTCTAACCACTGAATCAGTGGCTCCCTAGAAAATGCACGAAAAATGTATATGATTTATGGTGGATCAAATTGCAAGCTTGGGTTCACCGATTACTTCTTTCACGAGCACTTGGCAGTTCATAGGATCATGCTTCACCTCTAGTTTCCAAGTTATAGTCTAGATGTAAATAAGAAAAGCATGTGGTCTTTAAAAAATTCTATGGTGCAGTTATGTTAATGTGGTTATTGAATGCCTTTTGAATTTATTTTTGTCCCTTGATCGACCCAAATTATTATATGATTTATTTATTTGTAATTGTGTGCTTTATTTTGTTTTTCATCAATTCTTTTTGTCAAGATGCAATTTTCTTTGCCATCTTATTTCTTCTGCAGGACTTTTGTGGGAACAAACTTAAATCCTTTGTGGCAAAGTTTTCTTGTTCCATCAGAAGGTAAAGTTTCGTGAAATTATTAAAGTCCGTGCAATGGCCATTTGGTTTTCATGTTCAATTGATTGTAGAATGACTACACAAAGTAATCACTCTTACCTCTGCGAGCTGAAGTTGCCTTAAACCTAGGTGACCTTTCTCAAATATCCTATTGTACCTCGGGGGATTGGATCGATTTTTGCCACAAAATGATTGCCTTACAAATCGCAGTGATGAACTAGTGGAAGTTTCCTTAAACCCAGATGACGTTTTTCAAGTGTCCTAAGTTTGGTTTCGTGGAATGAACCCACTTTGCCAATGGGTCAGTGCGGTGCTTTAACATGGTATCAAAGCTTGGATTGGATTCAGGAGACTTTGGACCAAACTGTTTATTTTAAATTTCATTGATGTGGCATTGATTCCCCTATGTGACAGAAGTGCACCTTGTTATGTATATGATCTGTCTTTTGATTCTTCTATGTCGCAATGTGCGAGTAGGGGTTTGCGCATTTCCCACATTGGTAGAGTAACATCTCTAAATTGGTACAAGAGCATTGTAATTGGTTTTGAGTTGCATCTTTAAAAACACTGTTTGAAAATAAAGTGAGAGATAACTGAATTAAAATGGTTTGGACATGTACAATGAAGACCAATATGTGCACATGCAAGAAAGAGTGACAAGACCAGGGGGTATGGGAAGACCAAGAGAGAAGGTGGAATAAGTTAGTAAAGAAAGATATGATAATTGTTGATTAACAAAATATATAGCCCTTGATAAAGCAGAAGAGGAAAAAAAAAAATTCATGTAGCAACCCAAAATAATTGAGAACGCGGTTTTGTTTAATTTGGTTTGGTTTGGTTTATAATACGAAATTTGGGGGAAGCATGAAAAGAAACTAGTGTTGATGATTATGCTTTGATCTTTAAGTTCTGCTGCTTTGATTTATGCTATATCTATGCCTTAATAATTTAACTTTGCTTTGTTTTAGATGATTGTCTACAGTGTCAGCATACCTCAAGTCCATTGGGTAATGGTGCGGTTGTGGAGACAAATGATAAGAAGATACTTGTGCTGCAGAGAAGTAATAATGTTGGGGAGTTTCCTGGACACTTTGTTTTCCCTGGAGGCCATCCAGAGGTAGCTGATCTAGAAATTGATAATTGTTTTTAGAGGCTACATGCATTCATTCATGAGGATGATTAAGGCATGCTTGAAGCTTTCAAACTTCCACTACTTTATGACAATCTATTCTTATTTCATTCCCGGACCCGGACATGTGATATTGGTATGATACGATACTAGAACCAGCCAGCCCTTAGGCTAGGAATCGAAGCTGTCGCCTAGGATCTCATATTTTTGGGGGCCTCAAATATTTTTTTTAAGATTTAAATTTACTTAATTTCTTATTTTTAAGAATTTTAGTTTCAAGTGTAATTAAGTCTAAATTTATTTTCAAGGTCAAATATAACTTTTAGATCAATGTTTAGTCAAATTAAATTTTTTTTTTCGGGCTCCTAAATTTATTTTATAGACGCGTGTTCAATGAAGTCAATTTTACTTTTACGAACTTTATACTAATTTGAGATTTATTATATTAATCATAATATTATTCATGTCTTGGAACCTACCATGTATAACAAAATTATGTAATTGTTTCTTTCGTATATTATTTTCAACTATTTTGATCAACTTGAAAAATATGTATTTTGGTTTTTCTTTTTATAATTTAATCTTTTAATAAATTAAATTTATTTAAATTTAAATTGAGTTTATTAATAGTTTCTTATTGTTGCCATGATAGTAGAACCATCACTAGAATGTCTAATATTAACTTCAAATCTATTCTCTTACTATTCTATTGACTATTAGACTTTGAATGAATTTTATAAATCTAAATGGTATGCTAAAGAATTTAAATACAAAAATTTAAATAGTAAGTTGACAACTCAAATAATAAGAAATTTATTTTTAAATAAATAAATTTTAATATTTAAATAACAATAAAAAATATATTATATGTTATCATAATAATCATAATTAATGGGAGCTCATCCAAAAATATTGCACAGGGCCTCCACTTGGCTCAGGCCGACTGTGGATGCGATAAAACTTAGAAAAAGGCTAAGATTTGTCTATATTTTATATTTTATTATTATTTAAAGACTTAAAAATTATAATTTTCAATAATTATTTAACAGGGTCAACAAAATTAAAAAATTTTACATTGAAAAAGATGTAATATCGTCTTATTATGATATACCTATAAAATGAATGTGACCAATTAAAGGAATTAGAACCACATCTAACTAGTTGGTTTGTATACAAGTATTTATTTTTAAGATTATCTGACTTATTTTTTTATACTCTTTTAACATATGATAACAGTTAATATTTAAAAAACACTCGTGTCCTCAAAATTATATGAAATTTTATATTGTATGTGAACTTGAAAGGAAAGGTACAGATTAAAATTAAAAATTGTACATCTTGTTCTATTTTTAGAAGTATTTCGCAAAGTATTCACATATTTTATTAATTATCGGATATGTATTACGTATCATCGAGTATCGAATGAATATCATATTTGATATGATATCCAATACGGGTACGTCGACCTTGAGAAGTATCCATGCTTCATAGCTTTTCCCTTTTGTAATGCATGCAGAATGGTTTTCCTCCTTGAGACAGTGTATTTAGATTTTGGGCATTGTTGCCCATTTGGTTAGGAAGAAAAGAGTGATGAAAAATAAAAATGATAGAAAGTAAGACAAAAGAAAATAAAATGAAAGAAAATATATTTTCAAACATGTATTTAATTAGCATGAAAAACTTGAGATGAAGTTTTAAAAAATTTCTATTCTATTGTTTGAAAGAAATGAAAGTTACAAGCAATTTTTTCCAATTGTCTAAATTACTTTGAATTATATTAAATCGATCTAAAGAAGAACGAATATGTATTATAATTAAAAGTTAAAAAGATTGGCTCCTAACTTAATTCTGAGATATGCATCAACACGAAGGTCTCCGAGCAAATTATATGATTAACTAAATCCATATCCATATTTTTTAAATAAATAATCAATAAAATATTTTAAAAAAATAAGGGTAAAAAGAGAATTAGTTATAGATTACAACTTTTTTACGTTTTTTGCATTTTTTACAAGGAAAAAAAAGGTGGTTTATTGTGAAAATATCTAATCATGGATGAAATTTATTTTTTCCATCATTTTCTATTTCACGTTAAACCAAACACACGAAAATTTTAAAATTTTTCTTTTTCTTGTATTTTCTATCATTATACTGCTCAACAAACTGAGCTTTATGCTTTTGAATTGGTGCATCTATGTTTCCTTTAGTTTGTTGTAGCACGTAGAATTTCCCCCTCCCCCACGCCACCGCCACCCCAAGAAAAAAGAACAAAAAACCCAATCTCAGGATCTAGTATTTTTTTTTCTTTCTATCGCACCCCTTCATGTTTGAACAGGGTCTTACATCCAACAGCTCTATTAAGGTGTAATAGTAGAGAGCACTCAGTCTGTCAGCTTGTTAGCTCTCACACTGACAGCTGCTGGTTCTTTGTATCAGCAATTTTTAACAATTATTTTCCTCTGCATTTGTCTCATTCTCGCAAGTATAATGGTACTGTCAGGACGTAGTGGTTCAATTATACTTCTCTGGTGCTTGACAGCCTGAAGAAGTTGGGATAAGTTCTCATCAATGTGACAAAGACTTGGAATATGCAGAACTAAGGAACAGAAAGGTTTCTCAGGAGATGTTTGACAGCATTGTGCGGGAAGTAGTAGAAGAAATTGGAGTACCTGCGTCAACACTTGTGAGTGATAATCACTTAAAATTCATTTTTTTTGCCTCAGATCTGTTTACCTTATTGCCTGACAGAAAGTAGTGTTATAATTGTGTAATGCATTTTGTTCACTCTTTCAGATAATCTTGGTTGTTCTAAGATAACTTGTAGGGGTTTTGACAGATGTTTAGATGGTCTAGAGTTGTTTACACTAACTTTTCAGATGACAGTCAGGTTGTAATGCACTGCAGAATGTTTAGCGCAAGGTTCGTATGAATTAAGATGATTGACAAGACTAAGATAGAAACTAGAAAAAGCCTGTACTTAAAAATCACCATAACTAATAATTTTCATGTTTACGTCATTTTTTTCTGTTTGCTTTCCTGACAGTTTCTGAGTATGCTTTACCTGCATATGACTTGCTAATTGGTTCTTCAGAGCTCTTACATCTTCTCAAGTTTTCCTTAAAATTTTGAGTTGTAGTTAAAACTTTGTTCTTTTAAACCTCTTATATAAAGCTAGTGCATTGAACTATTCTTCACTTCGTTGCAATAACATAGACGAAAGCAAATCTCTTTTAAAAGAAAAATTAGATCATTCTTCATCTAACTGTATCTGATCCACTACATACTTGCCGAATTTCTTGAAACAAGATTAGTTATGGGCTTCCTTTTCTTTTTGTTTTCAAGGTGGTTTAATTCTTCTTTGGAATGTAATTGGTTAGTTACTGTATAGCATTATGCCTATGGTTATGTCCTTTGATTTAGCACATTTCTCTAAATTTCCATCTAATAATATCTTCCTGGATTAGACACTGCTGCAGTCGGTTCAATGATAATCCTCTCGTTTGTAACATCTGTTTACTGTGGGATGCTGTCATTTGCATTGATCAAAGACGATGTTGATGCTTATCCAAATAAAATTTAATTTCATTTTTTGTGAAATTAGCTTGAGACAATTGAATCTTTAGTCTGCAATTAACAAAGTAACTTCTTGTTAATCCTCTCTATTCAGTTCTATCACTTATCTGCAGTCAGAGGGGTTATAGTGGCCTTCATTACTTTCATATATTATAACAGGAGAAAGGCTTGAGTAGTTTTGTGTTTGTAACCTGGATTAACATGTCTTAGAAGGTGTCTAATACTTGATTGTTTTATTCTGATGCAGTGCACACCCACCTTTATTGGTATATCACGCAGGATGTTGAATGTCAGACCTACTGCTTTCTTCTTCATCAAATGCAGCCTTCAGACAGAGGAAATTCAGCAACTATATTCTGGAGCTCAAGATGGCTACGAGTCAACACAACTTTATACTGTCTCAGTGGTTAGTATATACACAAACCATGTGGCATCTTCATAGATCATACAATTTGTTTTGATGAGCTCTAAAATGCTTTTTTACTTTTTCAAAGAGTGATTAGGAGACGTTGCGTAGTGCTATCGTAACAGCTAAGGTTTAAGCATGAGAACACGGGTGACAAAGTTCAAATATGAGGGCAGCTACTTAGTTGAATAATGTTTGAGATTAGGCTTGTACCAAATTTACACCTCTCAGGACCGGGGACCCCACATTGGCCTGAGAAATATTGGACAATGGCCCTTCTGCTAGCAGAGTAGCATGAAGTTAATTGTAGCCACTCAGTTTGACGACTGGTTATATGCATTGGTAGCTTAATGTGCGTGGAATGTGAAAGCAGTGGTCCGAGTTTGTTGTATGGGGCTTAGTAGTGATTGAGTGGTGTCAATGTTAGGATTGTAACAAAGGCTTATTGTGGCATAGTCACGGTGGTGGTTACGGGTTTAGATTTATAATCTATGTTTTCCTTTCTTTCTTCATAGGCGGTGCCAGTTGCAGCACCTTCTTTTGACACTACTACTAGAAGTCTTTTGGCTATACTGAAGTTACTACGATGCTTACGAATTCTAAGTCTAGGTCAAGTATCTAAAGAGAAACCATTGGAGCAGTAGAAACCATTTGAAGCAGATGATGCCTTTGTACAAAAATAGTAGTAATGTTTGCCTTTGTACTTTACCACTGACCCGTTCTTTTCTGCCTATCAGAATGATTTGGAGAGCATGACAACTAAAATGCCTGGCTGCCACCAAGGAGGATTTGCACTATATAAGCTGATGGTAGAAACTTTGAAGGAGACCTAAGGGAAAGTTCAAGGTTGTTGCTGAATCAAGGTTATCAAGCCTTTTGTCTCTGCTGCTTTGCACGACATTTAGCTGGCTTCAAGATTTCTTCTCTCAGTATGACTCCTTTTCAGCGGACAAAATACCAGAACTATATTTGTGCACTGCTTATACAGGAATGATTATGTGGGTTTTGTATCCCCCACCCCCAAAGATATTTTCATGCCAAAACTTAACTTCAATGTATCCCTTTGCCATCTCAACCAGAATGTTTCGAATATATGCAAGTTCGTTATAGAATATTACAATAATGATATTGAGACTCTTTTTGTGTGTCCATGTGCCCCTTGCTTACTATTTCACTGTGTTCAATATCATATTTTATCTTTAGGTATGTGAATTTATTTATGCATTTTTTGTTGGTTTGGGGCTTTGTATGTTAGTAAATGGAACAATATTTGTATGTAATAGTGATTTAGATCAAAGTAGCTCTGATACCAAATTTGATGTTGAATGGGAAGGGAGTGGGAGAACGAGAAGAGGAGGGAAGGGAGAAGGAGATTAGGGAAAGAATAAAGTCTTAACAAATCGATAATCAATGGCTTCCCAAACCATTACATTATACCCTGATATTAGGGAATACCAAAACCCTAAAGCAAAGAGTCCTAAAATAAATAATCAAAATGAAAAATAAGTCTCTAAAAGTAAAAATAGTCCAAATTTCTATGTCAACCATAATTTCTACGTCTACCATAATAAAATGTATTTCAATGCCAATCAAGTAGTGTATGTAATAGTATCCATAATTTGTGCATGGGGCTGCATTCAAGCCTGGGAAACTCTACAACTCTCCTGTCATCTTTGACATTGTATACATTTTGGTGGCATACATCAGGAGTACCTGTTCATCTGTTCTTTGTTTCGGCCCACTTAGGAGGTCTATTGGGCCAAAAATTGTGAGTCAGATGGCAACCTTCTACTGATAGACATAACCTATTGTAAGGGTGCATACGAATCTGTAGATCCATTGATGATTATCAGTTACAATATATTCAGTGTAATTTGGTTAATGCATGAAATCAACCTGTTGGAAATTATGTTAACTGAAGAGCGCTTTTAAGAACAAACCCCCCCCCCCCCCCCCCCCCAAAAAAAAATAATAATAATAATAAAAAAAAAAAAAAAAAAACACTCAAACCCAAATAAGCTATGCCACTTTAGACCGTGGGTAGTCCTCGAAAAGTCTTCACTTCAAGTATGACTCATTGTAAACATGTTCAGCTACTTACCATATGTTCAACTCTTTTGAATTACTATGTGGTAATTATTTTCTTTTCCTTGAAATGAACTGGGAATCCTAATTATCATGGGAATCCAATCAATGATTATTAACACCTAGATTGTCTGGTTCCCAGCCAAATACTGAAAAACCTAGTGGAAATGTGGATTGATATTCAAGTTGGATTGTTGTTTACATTCTTTTTTCTTCTTGGTCGTGTTGTTTATGTTCATGAACTGACCTTTTGCTGATTAGTATTAGTTATTTAGTCCCCACAAAAAAAAAAAAAAAAAAGAGTAAGAATAAGGGAAATGAAAGAAGTGCGAAAAGTAGGAAGGGTAGTCGGGAATTAAGGAACTTACGGTCAGAAATAAATTATGACGTTGGGAACTCTAGACTGGGTGATAAGGGTGTTTTGGTTCAGTACGAAGATAGTTAGTTGGAATGTGTAGGGTTTGGGTCCTTTGGGATCTATAAACCAGAGAAAATCTATAAAAGAGATTCTCGTTAGCTAAGAAGCATGGACACGGATACGGGATATGGATACGACACGATACGGACACGCCGATATGATATTTATCAAAAAAGTAGGACACGGATACGTTGAGGACACGCTACAAAAAAATTATATTTTATATATAATATTATATAATTTATTGTAAATATAATGATAATAATATACAATTCATAAAAAAATCAGTATTTTATGATAAGAAAACCTAATGTCTAGTCATTTATGTGAATTTTTGGACTAAAACATCCTCATTATATTCAATAATCATCAAATTTTTTTTGTAGACAATGTGTACCTAATATATAATTTAAATAATTGCTCTCATTTTCTTAATTCCTCTTTTTTTAACTTTATGCATGTTTTATTTTTATTATTATATTTCGAGTACAACTTTAATATGTCTAGTATTAGTAATTATATTTTCTCAAATTTTTAAGATTTTTTAATCACATTTCAACAAATGTCAATTGTTTAATACTAGAAATGTTCTAAAGAAGTGTCGGACACGTCACCAAAGAAGTGTCCGACATGTATCCGAAATTAAAAATTTATCTTTTAATTATAGACACGGATAAAAGAGTATCGAATACGTGTCCAAAAGTGTATGAAGAGTGTCGGTGTCCGATACGTGTCCAACACGGATACATCACGTTCTCGAGAGTGTCTGTGCTTCATAGGTCGTGAGAGTAGATCTAGATATTGTTATTCTACAAGAAATAAAGAAGGAGGTCATTGATAAAAGAATTGTTAAAACTTAAAAGTGTTTTGGAGTGTAGGTAGTAGGTATAGAAATTAGGGTTTTTTACCATCCGTGGGAAGATCGGGAGATATTGTTATAATGTGGGATGATATATTAGTATTAGTGGAGAAAATAATTGAGAGTCAAGGAATGAAATGTCGTGTCGAAACGTCCGAAACGTTTCGGAATTTCAACACACAGACACGAAACAGGGGATGAATACTAAAATTTCAATATTTCGTTCGAAACGGGACTGTGTCGGACCGTTTCGGTCGAAACAGTAAAGATTCAGTTCACTCCAGGCCAAAAGAAAAAAACAGAGAGGCTAGAAAGCAGATTCCTTTCACAAGTCAGTCAGAATTCACAGTGAAAAAACACAGAAAATCACATGAGGTTCAGAAAGCAGATTCCTTCCATAAGTCAGTCAAAATTCATAGAGAAAAAACACAGAAATCACATAGTCTAAGTCTTCCAAGAAAAAAAAATAGACAAAAGAAAGAGAGAAAGGCACCACAAGAAATCGTCCAGGTCTTTCGAGCAAAAAAAAAAAAAACAGACAGAAGAGAAAGAGAAAGGCACCACAGGAACTCGAAGAGACAAAAAATTGAAGGAGAAAACTTAAGGAACTTACCTTGAGTCCAGATTTGAGCAGATTCAATCATTTTCGGGTTTTTCACGCAGATCCAGGGCTCGAATTTTCCACGCAGAGCCTCCAGTCTTCATCCCTGCGACCACGAACCCGAGGTATGTTCTTCTTCTTCTTCCTCTCTCTCTCTCTCCGGCATCATGATCGTGATCACCATTGCCTCGCCTCTCGCCTTTCTGTGTTTTTTCTAAGTCGCGTGTGGTGTGTCTGAGGCTCTGAGTTATATATATATATATATATATATATATATTTTGTTATAAGTATGAATAATTATATTTAATACCCCCTATAATTATATTTAATCTCTATTGTAATTACATTCAATACCCAACAGTAATTGTTAATACCCCACTGTAATAACATTTAGGGCAAAATTCAGTTTACCCCCTTGTGATTTGGTCGTTGTGCACATCACCTCCTTGTGATTCAAAAATCGGCACATAACCCCTTTGTGTTTTTGGACTAAAGTGCGACCGTTACTATTTTTGTCAAAATGACAGAAATTATAACACACGTGCTAGATTTGCAAGTATGGATGTAAAAAATTTAAGTCTAAGTCAAAGTCAAATATACCCTTGGGATCTTTCAAAAAGACATTTTTTTATTTTCTTCTACATTTTACTGTTAGAAAAAAAAATATTAAAATTTTCATCTCTATTCTATATTTTCCCATCTCTGTGCCTCTCCAGTTCTCGCCTCCTCTCTCTCTCTCTTGTAATTGTTCTTGTGATTTTCGGTGGAGATGGTAGGGGTTTTTCAATGGGTTTGGGGTGGGTTTCAGGGGCTGTTGGGAGTGAGTTTTCGGGACTGTTGGGAGTCGATTTTGCGGGTTTGGGGTGGGTTTTTCAAGGGGTGTTGGGTGGGTTTCAGGGGGTTAGGGATGGGTTTCAGATATGGCGTTGGGGGTGGGAGTTTCGGTGGTGTTGGGTTGTTGTTGGTGGGGGTGGGTTTTCGGTATGGGTGGTTGGTGGTGGGTGGTGGGTGGATTGCAAGGGGTTTGGGGTGGGGTTTTCAGGGGGTGTTGGGTGGGTTTTAGGGGGTTAGGAATGAGGTTCAGGTGTGGCGTTGGGGGTGGGAGTTTCGGTGGTGTTGGGTTGTTATTGGTGGGGGTGGGTGGATTGCAAGGGGTTTGGGGGTGGATTTGTGGTGGGGTTAGGTGGTTGCTGGTGGTGGGATTAAGTGGTGTTGGGTGGTTTTTTAAGGGGGTATTGGGTGGTTTTTCAGTTGTGGCATTGGGGGTGGGGGTTTGGGTGGTGTTGGGTTGTTGTTGGTGGGGGTGGGTTTTCGGTATGGGTGGTTGGTGGTGGGTGGATTGCAAGGGGCTTGGGGGGTGGGTTTGTAGTGGGGTTAGGTGGTTGCTGGTGGTGGGATTAAGTGGTGTTGGGTAATTTTTCAAGGGGGTGTTGGGTGGTTTTTTAGGTGTGGCGTTGGGGGTGGGGGTTTCGGTGGTGTTTGGTTGTTGTTGGTGGGGGTGGGATTTCGGTATGGGTGGTTGGTGGTGGGTGTATTGCAAAGGGTTTAAGGGGTGGGTTTGTGGTGGGGTTAAGGTGGTTACTGGTGGTGGGATTAAGTGGTGTTGGGTGGTTGAATTTGGGTAAAATCTCAAACATGTCTTTTATTTTTGTTTTCATAATTTTTTAAATATAAAATAATTATCAAACATGTTTTATATTTTTTAATTTTTATCACAGAAAAATATAAACTAGTTTTTTGCAACCATGATGTGATTTAGTGGTGATGGCTAATGACCAATGATTCGGTGGAGAGTTGAACAGTATGTGAAGATGTATTGGGATTGGAGAAGATGTGGTGACAACTTTTATTCAAATTTTAAGGAGGGTAAGGTGGTCTTTTTGCCATTGCTGTTAATGGTGTTAGCTACGCACTTTAGCTACACAAGGGGGCTGTGCTGATTTTTGAATCACAAGGAGGTGATGTGCATAACGACCAAACCACAAGGGGGTAAACTAGATTTTGTCCTTACATTTAATATCTACTATAATTATATTTACCACTCCATTGTAGTTACATTTAATAGTTAATACCCACTGCAATTACATTTGATACCTTACTACAATTACATTTAATAGTTAATATCCACTGTAATTACATTTAATAATTAATACCCACTGCAATTACATTTAATACCCCACTGCATACATACGTATCATTAATTTAATTTGATACCCTTCATTATTTTTTTTTATTTTTGTAATTATTTTTTTATATTATTATATTTTAATTAAAAGTGTTATACATGTCATATTTAATTCGTAGAATGAATATAATATATTTAATAATGTAATGATATTTATTGTAGATATGACATCAAAGGGAAAGATACAGAGGGATTACTTGAATCGCAACAAGACTAAAAATACAGAAGTGACTGATGAACGAAAAAAAATGAGACAGAATTTAATTGGTGGATCGAGGCGGAGGAGTGGTATCGAAATTTATTCTTCCGATGAGAATTCAGATGATGATATGGATATAGAATATAGAGTTGATATTGAGTATGCAAAACAACAATCTATTCGTGATATACATATGGCCAAGTAGGGCTTTAGAGGAGGAAGTTCTAGACCATCTATCCAAAAAGGTGGTACATCTAGGGGTTTAATGCGTTCACATAGTGTGAAAGAATCTTGGGATAAATTCTCAAAAAAGTCACAAAAGTTGATAGGCAAAGAAAAGAATCTCACGAAAGAAGAGATAGATCCTTCAATGTATCGGAATATGGAAGTGAAGCAAGCCAAGCTAACTCATATGTGGAATCCCAAAAGTGGGCAAAGTCAGCAAAACATACTATTGCAAAGTATTTCATTTATGAGAATATTCTACCAAGCAAAGCTCAAGGTCATTTTTACCAATTGATGATTGATGAAATTGCTTTAGCTTGAATGGGTGTGAAAGGCCCAATCCCATATGAGATTGGCGGGCCATTGCTAGATAATGAGATAGATGAGCTTAAAGAGTATATTGACCAGTTCAAAAAAAGTGGGAGATTTTGGAGTGACAATCATGTGTGATGGATGGACATCCACCACAAGATTATCTATCATTAACTTCTTGATATATTGTAATGGAAAAATTGTCTTCCACAAGTCAATTGATAGTTCTGGCCATGACAAGGATGCTAACTATATTTTGGGGTTGATGGATGCTATTGTTGAGGAGATTGGAGAAAAATATGTGGTTCAGATTATTACAGACCAGTGTTTTGAAAAGCTCGCCTAGGCGAGAAGCGAGGCGAGGCGAGCTTATCTCGCCTAGAGGACCCCAGGCGAAGCGAACGTGAGCGAAGTGAGAAAAAAGCGAGAAGAAAAAAGCGAAAAAGCGAACGCTTTATTATAAAAGACGATTCTGCTTCACTTTTTTTTTTTTTTTTTTCTGATTACAGTTTAGTAGTCTCTTTTATTTTTTAATCACTAATGACTTTTTTTTTAGACTATTGTTGGTCTATTTTTTTTTTCTAATAAACAATGTTTCGAACAAAACACATTCCTTTTTTTTTCTTGTGTTGCTGGATTCATTTAGAATATTTGTGGGATGTGAGAGTCAGGTGACTGCATGACAATTATGATAAAAAAAGGAAGCAGGAGTATCAAGAATGGGGATAAATAATAGATTCTTCTACAAAGAAGTGTCTCTGATATGTCTTGGTTATACTTTTCCCTTTTCTTATATATATACAAATGGTACCAAAAAGTGGTCTATGCTTATACATGTTTAATTACTTTAGTACATGTGAAATGTGTCTCTGTTCTGCTTTTTTTTATTCAGTATATAATTACATATGAAATTGTTTACAATTGATTCTGCTCCTGTCATGATCATTGTGCTTCTGTTTTTTTTTTTAGTTCATTCTGCTTCTATTTTTTTTTTTGATTCTGTTGCTGCTTCGGTTTTGCTGTTCTGTGTTGCTTTTGTTTTTTTTTATCCTCATTCTGCTTCTTTTTTTTTTTGTTGCTAATTCTGCTGCTGTCCTGATTCTGCTTCTTTTGTTGTCCTACCCTGTCAATATGAAAATGTATACAATTGTTAGTATTTGTTTGAATTTAAATGTTTAAGTTATGACTGTTATTAAGATTTGAGATATTATTAGTGTTTGTTTTAATTTAAATGTTTATGGTTTTACTTGCATTTAAATATTTAGTATATATAAAATTAGAACTTAGATTGTTTAGAAGTAATTAAACTAAAATATATATTTTTTTTAACTGTTCGCTTTGCTTCGGTAAAGCGTGTCGCTTCGCTTCTCACTTCTCGCCTAGGCGTTAGGAGCCTTGGTCGCTTCGATTCGCTTTACACCTAAATAACACTGTTACAGACAATGACAGCGCGTACAAAAAAGGGTGAAATGTTAATGGAAAGAAGACCACACTTATATTGGACTCCTTGTGTTGTCCACTCTCTGGATTTGATTTTGCATGATTTTTCCAAGATTGAAACGGTTCAAAATGTGCTAGAGCAAGTAAAAGAGTGGCCAATTTTATCTATAATCATAATAGAGTCTTGGATACAATGAGAACATTTTGTTCAGAAAAATTGATTCAGCTAGGGTAAACAAGATTTGCCACTAATTATATTGCCCTACAAAGTATTTTGGAACAGAGAAATGGTTTGCAAAGGATGTTTATTTCAGAAGATTGGTCTAGGATTGCGGCAGCAAAGGATCCAGTTGGAAAGCGAATTCAAGGGACAATTCTAAATCATAAATTTTGGGAGACCGCCAAAAATGTGTTGAATATGTATACACCTATTGCAAAAGTTCTAAGAATGGTGGATGAGGAAAGAAAAACAACAATGTCATATGTATATGAAGCCATGAAATGAGCAAGATGAGCTATCAAAGACGCGGCTCCTAAATCGTGCAAAAAATATCTTGACATCATTGATGCTCGATGGAAAAAATAAATCATTCAACATATTCATAGGGCAGGTAAACTTATTGTTTATCAATTAATATTTTTATTATTGATAACTGTTATTATTTTGGATGTTATCATTTATTATTATTTATATTGTGTAGTTTATTGCTTGAACCCTACATACTATTATGAAAAAAATGTTGGTGTGTTAGAAAATTTCTTGGGTTCGCTTTGAATCGTTGTGTCTAGACTAGAGACAAATCCAAATAAAGGTTGTTGAAGCACTTGCATAGGTAATACTTTAGTATTTCAATCTCAGTTTACAAATGTGTTAAATTAATATATAACATCAACATATCCATGATATTTAGGTAAAAATATTTCAGGAGGCCATGTATTGTTTTGCTGACCAATCTGCAATTAGAGGAAAAACAAAAAGTGATTCAAGTAATTAAGTAGATTATTTACACACTTATATTTTGTTCTCATGATTTTCTATTTAAATTTTTCTTTAAGATTTTAAAATGTTTCTTATTATTATGTAGCTGAATGGTGGTTTATGTATGGTACTGATGCTCCAAATTTGATAAAGATTGCTATGAGAATATTGTCGCAAACAGCCTCATCTAGTGGTTGTAAGAGAAACTGGAGCACATTTGCTCTTATTCATACTAAAGTGCGGAATTGACTCAATTATCAAAAGTTAGAAAGGTTGGTGTTTGCACAATATAACATGAGGTTAAAGTTAAAGCACCTTATGAAGGACAAAAAAAGGTATGAATTCAGACCTATAGACTTAACCACTGTTTTTGAGGAAGATAAAGGTATTTCGGAGTGGTTAGATGATCCTGGTGATGCACTTTTAGATGAACTTGATGATGATGGGCAATCAACAAGACCAAACACTTTTCTAGCGACGTGGGCAAATCTTTTTCCGATGACGATGGAGGAGTAGGCCTAAGTGAAGGTGTTATGCCACCACGAAAATCAAGATCCAAAATAAGTAGAGGAGGATCAAGTAAAGCAATGGATAATGAAGAGTTTGACAGACTAATAAGAGGTCCACCAAGACGTAAGCAACTTATCACAGTCACTAGTAGTACTGAGGATAATCATAATGGTGATAGTAGTAATGATGATGGTGGTGAAAATGATGATGAAGATAGTGGTGGTGGTGGTGGTGGTGGAGATGGTGACAGCGAAGGTGGTGATATATATACATGGAGGTGGTGATGGAGATACGGGAAGCCAAAGTCCACATGGAATTGTATTCACTGTAGAGAAAGGATTTACACATGCTACACAATGAAGATCATGACTCTCGACGAATGCTTCAATATAAACGACGCTCAAAATCAACTCGAGATCGTCAACGTGAGCCCACTCAAACTCCGATCACTCTACATGGTATGGGTGCTTTTAGGCATGAAGTTGATATGATTAATGATGATTTTTCTACTATGAGTATAAGTGGAAGTGGAAGTGGAAATGAACACTATAATTATGGTTCGTCGTCTTCATATGGTTATGGTTCTGGACATGACATTCCCTCATATTATTATGGATCGGGGTATGACACATGAGGATACGAATATGAAGGTTGAGGATACCAAACCTCAACATATGGTTATGGATCTGTTATGACTCCCAGACATCCTCCTCATATAGATAAGATGAAGGTTGGTCAGGGACTGGTGCATTCGTTCCCCAACAGATTGGATGTA